AGAGACAGGCTATAAACAAAAGCTATTAGCTATTACTTCTAACAATGCTAGTAATAATAGCACACTAGCTTAGTTGCTTAAGGCTAAGCTTAGGGAGGATAGGATCTAGTAGAGCCTAAGCGAAAATATAGTGCTATGCCTTACATATATTATTAACCTAGTAGTCTAGGATAGTATTACGCACCTCTAGATAGCAGCCCCTTATAATTTAGGCCTAGATAAGTCTATACCTAAATAGCAGATACAAGTAATTGAGTCTAATATATTAGTCCTAAACTTACTTAAGAAGGTATATATTTATTATAGTTTTTTATTATATACTAAGCTACTATTAGATTAGAATAATATATATTATAATTAATTAATTGCTATAATAAATTAAGTGTTTTATTACTACCTAATAGAACCTACTACTAAAAGAATATCTATTAGTTATATAAGATATACTAACTTAATAGAACTCTATATATAATATATACTCTTGCGCTCTTTGCCTTAAACGCTATATTAATAATTAGCTTTAGCAAGAAATTATAATAAACTCTACTAGCGCTTCTAGAGAGGATAATAACTATATTAGCGCCCGTGATCTTAAGCGAATTTAACTATCCTCTAGAGAATAGCACTACCTTAAGCTTGTTACCACTATGCTAGAAAAATTTAAGGACGTAACTACCTACCTTAGGTAAAACTAGAAACCTTAAGTTTAATACTTGTAGTTAATATATAACTAGCTTTTTAACTTCTTAGATAAAATAAATAATAACTTAGGAGAAGATTTAGGTAACTAAGAAAATATTAAATAGGTAAAGGTAGTAAAAGCTGCTGCTAAAAGAGGTAGGGAAAAACTCTTAAAATACTATAGGAGGATAGATAAAGAGTATAGCTACCTATTTAACTATGCTACTATCCTAGATCTATTATAAAAGCTTATAGTATATAAGGTATATTAAATATAGATATTTATAATAGTATACGCTAAATATTAGGCTAGGATAATAGTTAGGATCCTTATAATAAATATATCTACTACTAATAATTCCTTAAATACCTAGATTAATATATTAGCACCTAACGCCCTAGCTCTCCCTAACCTTTAATAGCTTCTACTAGATAATTATAGGGTAAGGAGTGGTTTAGAAAGCTACTACTACTAGACCACTCCTAGTTAAGTAGCTCCCTAAGTCTCCCTAATAAGTATAAAGGAGGCTTAACACGCTAAGTGGGTAAAATGTACCTTAGCACTCCTTACGTTATTAAAGGAGATAGTTTTAATATCCTAGACTAGTAGAAATTAAATAAAGCTACCTATCCCTAACTTGTATAGGTAGCATATAATATTCTACCTATCTAGATTATAGGGGTTAGTGTTAAAAGAGTATTTAACACTAGTAAGGACCTTATTAGGGACTAGAGGCACTGCCTTTCTATATAGATAATTTAGCAGCTTATAGTTCTTAAATACACTATTTCTAGTAAGGAATAGGATTCTACTATAATAGGTAGTTAGTTTATATTAAATAATATTGTAGAGGATCTTTTTAAGCTTCTAGCTAGCTCTAGGTAATAAAACACAGGGATAGCTAAAGGATAGGAGGTTCTAATTTCTAGTAGTTTAGAAGATTCTAAGGCAACTAAGGATAATACACCTATATTAGTAGAGGAGTGTACTAAACCTCTACCACGTAAATATTAAAAGCTGCAATATTACTATAACTAATAGCTATAATAAAAGGATATAATACTATTTTAGAGTTCTATATATAGTGTATTTTATATATAACTATAAGAATAGCTATAACCTATATACTACTTATATAACCTTAACTAATATTTACTTACGTAAGACCTAACCTAACTACTAGGTCTATATAACCTAACCCTAACCTAAGCCTATAGCCTATATAACCTAACCCTAACCTAAGCCTATAGCCTGTGTAACCTAACCCTAACCTAAGCCTATAGCCTATAGCCTATGCGACCTAAACCTAACCTAAGCCTATAGCCTATGCAACCTAAACCTAACCTAAGCACTAGGTCTGTGCGACCTAAACCTAACCTAGTACTATAGCTAGTGTACACTAACCTAGATTTACCAGCCTACGTGTAGTAGCTTTTTAGGTAGCTTTCTCCTCCTACGCCTTCTTAGTAATTGCTTAATTTAGGCGACGCTCCTCTATAAGTTAAGCTTTAGCAAGCTTCTATTACTTATAAAGCTTAATTACCTTGCTTTTTTAGTATTATAGCTCCTGTTCTTTAAGGTTCTTTTACTCCTAGAGCTTAAACACTTGCTCTACCTTTAATAGTAAAATAAATTAGGCACTACTACAATAATTATTATTAGGGGGTAATAATAGAGGTTTACTACGCTTCCTACGCTTCTTCTTATTAGCTAGGGTAGCCCTTAGGTGTTTATTTTTGTGGTTAAGTAGAGTATTTCTTACTAATATAGTGTAGATTATCTAGCTAAGCTTCTTTAACTATTTATTATAGATATTAATTATAGTATTATAGAGTAACTACTCTATCTTTCTCTAATTACTTATACTTAATATTAACGTTATACTATTACTTAAAGAAGGCTAGTTACTATTATTTATAGGTGCTTTAAACCTTAAAAGGATAATATTAGGGTTAAGTAGTAAGATACCTATTACTTTAAAAGCTATTAATATTAGCTTTTCCTTAAAGGTATTACTCTATGCGGTATTAAATAACTAGTAGAAATCCCTCTTAGTAATGCTTGTAAGCCCTTAGGAGCTATCTAGAAAACTAGATAGTTAAGCTTTATATAAAGCTATAAAGGGAGTAAATACTATAATATTAAGTAGCTAAAGGGTATAAGTGCTATAAGGGGGATATATTATAAGTAGGATCTTATATTTATTATAGTACTTAATAAACTCTATTATTACGTAAGATCTATAGCTATTAAGGATAAGGAGCTAGTATAAAGTATAAGCTTTAGCTTTTGTCTTATAATTCAACACCTCCTTAAGCTAGGATACCCCTAGGGTGTGGCTTGTCTACCTACTTAGTAATCCTGTAAAGAAAGCTTAGTATTATAATAGGTTAAAATCTTATAACTAGGTATCCTATAGAGCTCTAGATTAGGACCAATAAATAAGGGTAGGGGTAAGAGTAGTACTATTAGCGCATATGCAAGCTATAGTAGTAATCTACTCCCTATTATTATCCTAAAGTATAGCTCTAATCTTTCTTTACTTATAGGCGCTCTTATTAAATATATATTTAGTTTTTAATAGTACTCTAATAAGAAAACCCTTCTTATTTATATTATAGATATACTAACTCTTAATATTATAATACTATTTTTTTTTTATAAAAGCTTAAAGTATAAGCTATACTTTAAGGTAGAATTAGCTTTAAAGTAGTTATAATTAAGCCTAGTAGCCTAATAGGAGATAAGATTAATATTATACTTATTAATAAAGCGCTATACCTAATTTTTACCTACTAGATTCCCTAATATTTTAGTTAAATTTTTTTAAATAATAGTCTATATAGGGGGTAATCCTTGCTTATAAAGCTCTTTAATATACTTTATAAGCTTGCTTTCTTGCGTAGTATTAAGTATTTAACTATTTAGTAGAGTAGTAGTACGTACCTACTAAATTTTCTAGTAGTGTCTAGATAAGGTTAACTATAAGTAACTATACTTTTCTACTATTTCTAAGTATATAAAATCTTCTCTAAGAGTTAAAGATTTAATTGCTGCAAGCGCGTTGTTAATAGGTGCCATAGTTGTTAAGAAATTTGGTTTTGAAAATTTAGTGATTTTGGTGTTGGTGGGCGCTCGGTGGGGGTGGGCGCTCGGTGGTGGATCACGTTACAGAATACTATTATCAAAGCTCATTGCAATCTCCCTTGAGGCCAGTCCATAACACCTACTTTAGAGAGGCTGACATCGTTATCATCAAGACCAAAATTTGGTTGCAACTACGAGTTATATGGGAAGAAAGTTACATTGTGCTGTCTAACCTAAGATGATAAGCTAACAGTATTCTTCCGTCCTCCTCGCTGACAAGGCCAGTCATTTCGGTGTAGATAGCTCCCATCCACCTGAACTAGGACAATATCACGTTATACACTGCATTTGCACCCTCCTTCTTGTCGGATACTGCATTCTCTAAAGTATAATATTAATGGAGTGTTTTGGATATACATGGGTATTTATGAATCCTTACAACGGCAGATATTCCCATATCTAGCATAATTGCATGCCCGCTCTGAATTCTGTGCTGAGCAACAGGCTGGTTTTTCCTGTGGAACGGGTTCAGCGGCGGGGCTGGCGGCAGGGATAGCTATAGCCATAGGCAGAAAGAGGCACATTGCAACAAAGCGGAATGAAAGTTGCATCTTCGTATGGATTGAGACTGGATGTGATTTGCGATGAAGGTCTTTAGGTATACCAGTGACAAATATGGGCGAAGAACAAAGCTAAAGGACGAGAGCACAAAGAAGGGATTGACTCAATATTTATATGCCTTCTTTTCTTTCGAGGTATAATTCTCTAAGCTTCCAAACGGCAAAATATGTGGTCAGATCAAGTACGATTGGCTTCCCAATACTTCTAGAGCACTAAGGATAGATTGATGACATTGTTGAGAATCTTAGTTGGCCCACTGGAAACACCTCAAGACTCCCCGTCCCCACTCCAGCTCTGAAGTTTCTGTCTTCACAGGTGCTGTAGTGGGTCTATGCCTATCAGAAGCTTATATCATCACCGTTTAATAGTCATGCTATCTCCCAATCTTGACCGCTCTGCTGCGAGTTCAATGCGCTATCATTGAGAACCGAAGCCATAAACCCATCAGTAATACGACCGCAAACTGTCTAACTTGAGTTGTAACTGATCTGAGCAATACTGGCAGTGCTCATCTTCAAGAATATAATCTCCACAAATCAACGATTCTACTACGAAGCTCATGGACAAGTCTTAGTCCAGAGTACGCTAAGGTTGAGCATCGATTTATTGCCTACGTGAGGTTTTGCGGTAACAGAATTTTCGAGGCAGTAGGTGTTCCGCTGTAATTCTGTATGAATTTGAAAACCTGAAGCGATATATTTCACAGTTGCCTTTAACATGTCATTTTGAATCTTGTGTAATGGCATTTAGGGTGTTTTATATTGCCCTTATCTACCAGACCATCTACATTATTGTACGCAAAATTGTTGTCAGTGATATGCTGTTCATCTAGTTCCGCTAGTTCCTGGGACTTACCGAGAAAGGTCCTTCTATGATGAATTTCCGCCACCAATCTGTTTTGAGAAGACTGGTAGTGCGATTATCTGACTGTGTCGTGCGGCAATAGGCAAAAGTGCTCACCGTGTGTCTATGAGCAAGGGTTGACAATGAGCGTGTACGCAGACTCTCAACAACCATAACTTCATGATATTTGAGTTCATTATTTTTCTACCAATAGTAAACACAGGTCAATATAGAATATAATACCATTCTAGCCTAACAAAGCCTAATAGTCTTATACCATGTACTAATTAAGTAATATTAGAAGCCCTGCGTATCACAGCTAGATAGTACGTTATAATATGTTGTGAACATCTAGGTTCCACTACAACTGTTGCGTGAGGTCCTGAAGTAAGTTAGTAAAGTTATCTAGTATTAAGTTTACATATTGGCAATACGGATTCACCGATAATACAGTGCAAGCCCAACGAAGATCCTTCCTATTGCAGTTCTAAGATCAGCATCCGAAAGGGCCTATCAATTGTAGCGCTTCCAGAGTCGCCAACAGGTCTACCTTACGTGAACAGTTGGCCTCCATTCTGTGAGTTACCTAAAGGTGCCGGCTTCAGGTATAAAACCCCCCAACTCCCTCTGTCTTTATGGGATATCACGACTGATATCATCAATAAATTACTACATTTAATTGTTCTCCAACCTTCTTCATAACGAACTAAACCCACGAAAAAAGCCGCAAAACTTCTACAATGAAGTTCTTCATCCCCTCTCTCCTCATGGCCGTTGTTGTCACGGCCAGCCCTCATCCTGCCCAACGCCTTACAGAGCTCGCTGCTCGGCAGAACTCGAACACGTGCAATACTGACTGCGGTGCTGGATTTACTTGTCGTTGCACGAATGGAGCAGTCTACTGCTGCCAAGGACCACCCACCTATTCGTGCGAATATCGAGGTGTCCGATGCTAGCCTTAATGTAGGACATAACACCTTCCACTATGCATTTTATCAAATGCTAATCGTCCTTGTTGTAATAGACTTACTGTCCTCGCCTTTACATCTAGATATCGAGCAAGTATCAGTGGCTTAGCAGTAAATATAATACATTTTACTAAGTACTTGTATAAAACGGGAGCTTATTCTTTATATTCTATCTTTTGCCTAACTGTTGCAGGAAGGATACTAACCGGATCACGGAGCATCTTAATCTAATTAACTAATCTAACCTATAATTAATATCCTTAATCTATACCCCTACCTAATCTACTATCTAATCTACTACTTACTTACTCCTAAGTGCCTAATAGAAAATAGAGCTCTAGTAAAGAAAGTTTACTAATTATACACCTTCTAGTAAGGTAGCTAAAGCTCTATTTATATAAGTCCTATTATAGTAGATACAATCTAATGATCCATCTCCTAAATCATTCCTAAGCTTAGTGATCACCCAATTCAACAATAAGCTATTCTACTCGCCTATAATCCATATTCGTGAATGATGCGCACCGTTTTTATTGTTTGATGCCGCGGGAGTAGACGCTACGGGTGAACATGTGCAACTATAGATGGAGATTGCAGAGCCATCATCAGTCGTTAAATAAGTGAATTTTTAATCAATTAATCTAAAGACCTAAATTCTATCCCAGAGTGAGGCAGGAAACGGTCTGCTAGAGATAATTACTAAAATCGCCAGGCCAACCACGTCATGGACTCATGGGATCTACTGACCTAGATTTTGGAGTAGAATTCGAACTCTAGTAAGAGATGTATTTGATGTTCTTTAAATAATCACTATCCGCCCAAGCCAATGCCTGCTGTGTATTCCTTCTCGATATATCATCTCGTTTTGATGCCAGAGGATGACAACCATGAGATCATCTCATGTCCCAACTTCTATTGTTCACACTCTATAATCTCTATCGTTCTATGATTGTAGGACGCTGTGAAGGATTTCTTCTGCTATCAGCACCTGATAGTTTTATCCTGGTGATCTGGGTTCTACATATTCCGTAGAGCTTCCCGTGCGCTCAGATATACTTAAGCAATGTGCCCGCACATGAGTATACAGAGTAGTAAAGTAAGAGACGACTAGCGAATCCCCGCTGTTGCATATTTTTGATTTCGTTCCAGGAAGTTGTTCTGGTGATACTAAGCTTACGGTAGACAGCGGAAGATCGACGCTAACGTGAATACGATTTTCTTCGTTCTTTACGCGGGACCTTACCGTACCTACCGTACCTAGTGAGACATCCACACACTACGGTACAAAACTAGTTTACAGTAGCCATATTTATCTAAAGTAGACCACGAAGTAGTTTAAGTATAAGAAATAAACCTAAATAGGGTTTACTATACTATATATTCTATAAAGGTAAACTACTTTTTAGTTTATATATTATTAGTATTATATATATTAACTTTAGCGTCTATTTAAATATAGTTTATATAATATACCTAATTATAGGTTATATAGTAGATAGATATATAGCACCTAGGGGGAGAATTGAGTATAGATAGAGGGCACGTAGTAGGTATAATTTAGTAGGGTTACTATGCGGGAACTAGTACTAGTAGATACCTAGGTAGTATAGGCGTGTAGTATACTGCTACCTAGGTACGCTATAATAATAACTAAGAGACTAGGTAGTATACCTAGTATATAAAAGTATAATCTAAAATATCCTATAATAATAGGTTAGTAAGTTCTATAAAGGCGCCTATTGTAACAACACTCCTATATTATAGTATAGTAGTATTAGTAAAGATTATACTCTATATTACAAATATTCTAGGGCAAGTTAGTTGTTTATACTATATATATTATAGGTTTTTTTAGTAGTATATTAGTTTAAAGTTTAGTATATATATATAGTATTATCTATACTATATTATATATAGTAGTAAAGAGGTAGTATAATATAGTAAGCTTGTGTAGTATAGGATATATAGTAAAATTACATTATATTATTTATATATACTAATATGGTATATATATATTATTTATATATACTAATATGGTATATATATATTATTTAATTTATATAGTTAGGACCCTCCTATATTATAATTTTCTATAAACCTAGATACTATTATTACTATTACTATTATTTAGCTCTCTTATATATAACAACTTAGGTAGGTAGGGCATCTAAAAGGTATCCTATATAACTTAAAGGCATATAGGAGTGCGCGTCTATATAGAAAAGGATAAGATTCCTACACCTATAGGTCTTGTATAAAAGGATAAGAAGAACATGCCTATCCTAACTATAGGCGAGCTACTCTCTATATATATTAGTAAGTTAGGCCTTTATTAGGCCTAACTTAGTGTAGAATAATAGGCAGGTAATTCTACCTTATTATTATACTACCCCCTCCTATAGAGAAAGGATAGTCCCTATCCTTAGGATTAGGTTTAGATCCCTTATTAAAGAAAAGCTCTTGCAAAATAAATCCACCTTTACCTCTACCTTTACCTTTACTTCTTCTTCCTAGGGTATAGACCCCTATCCTTAGCCTACCTATAACTAGCCCTCTACCTACTAACTTTCTTATTCCTATATCCCTAATTTTTTAATTATTTAACCTAATCTATCTAAAATCTAGTAAGTATTTAATCTATATAATTAAGTAGTTACTAATCTAAATTAGAACCTTTAGCTATACTAGTACTAGTACTACTAAAAGTCCTTCTAGTTACTTATTGCGCTCTCTATATAAGGGTAGTTAGGGCTCTAGCTAGGGGCAAGTTTAATAATTTTAATTTTAAGTTAAAGAATTCTAAGAAGTGCTAGTACTATATCTCCTAGAATAAGTATTATAATCTAGTAAGTATCTAAGTATAATAGGGTTCCTTTACTAATCCTAGTAGATTCCTTCCTTTATTAGCTAAGAGTACTCTACCCTTAGGGGTGCTCTAGATAAGTACTATAGCCTAGTAGCAAACCCTGCTAAAGGGGATAAGGATAAGGAAGCTATAGTTACTTATTAGAAGGATATTAAGTAGTTTAAGGCTACTATTTAAGAAGCTACCTAAAACCTAGCTAAGTGCGTTGCTATTACTAATACTTAGACTAAGGGTATAGAAGCTACTAAGATTCTTATAGCTACCTATTACGCTGCTATATCTAATTTATATTAGCTTTAGAATAGTATCTATAAGATAGTTATATTAGTTAGGGGTATAATAAGGGCTATTAATAAACTTAAGGAGGAAACAGCGCTAAATTAGGAGGTAATATTAGTAATATAGGCTAAGATAAAGGTAGTTATTAAAAAGGCATCTAAATCTATTCTAGTTCCTGTACCTACTCCTACACCTACTATAAAACTAGCTGCACTAGTTATCTAGAAGCTAGCTAAGAAACCTAGTCTAGGCGCTATCTTAGCTAATACAGAGTCTAAACTAGGTTCTAATAGGGAGATAGATATAGAATTAAAGAGGTTTCCTAGGGGTAGTGTCCTAGGAACCTAGAGGGTTCTAAGATAGTCCTAAATAGGATATAATTATAAATAATAATAATAATAATAGTAATAGATAGTAGTTAATTGCATAATCTATAGCTAAATAAGATATAAATTAGTTCTAATATTAGGTATAATTATTATAAAGTAATATTAGATCCTCTTTACCTTTTTCCTAGGCTTAAATCTATTTATATAAGCTGCGTAGGGGACCAAGCTAATTTAGATACTATTAGTAGAATACCTATAATTTATAGGGAGCTCCTATAAAGTTAGAGGCAGGATACTAAATAGGATTAGGATTGTGTCTAACCTACTTAACCTTATATTTTAGCTTAGATTAATATTGTAATGATAAGGCAGAATTGCCTGCCTATTATTCTATGCTAAGTTAGGCCTAATAAAGGCCCGACTTACTGATGTATATAGAGAGTAGATCGCCTATAGTTAGGATAGGCATGTTCTTCTTGTCCTTTTATACAAGACCTATAGGTATAGGAATCTTATCCTTTTCTATATAGACGCGCACTCCTATATACCTTTAAGTTATATAGGATACCTTTTAGATGCCCTACCTACCTAAGTTGTTATATTATAAGAAGAATATTACCCTAGCTAGTAATAGTATTTAAGAATATTGTATTTATTATTATTTTAAGCTACTAATTTAGTTCTAGTAGTTATCTAACCCTATAACTCTATAGTTAGAATAGCTATTAGAACTTCTAATAACTAAAGCCTATAGGCTTGGACTTCTAGACCTATAGGTAGTGCTAGATTACCTTTAGAAAAATCGCGTTAGATTGCGTTAAGGTAGAGACCTAGAGACTACTAAAAGCCTAGAGGAATTAGAGGCAAAGCTAATATCCTCCTACAACTAAACCCCCTAAAAAGAAAAGATTTATTATTCTTATTAACTATAAAATATTAGACAAAGGTAAAGGAAGGGCATCTAGTTTAGCCGCGTTTAAAAGCCTATTTACTAATTGTTAAATTTTAGATTACTAAGGTCAGGAATAATTTAGGAGATGGATTATTAGATTATATCTACTACGATTGGACTTATATATATAGAGCTTCAGCTACCCTTACTAGAAGGTGAATAATTAGTAAACCTTCCTTACTAGAGCTCCTGCTTTTTATTAGGCACTTGGCAGTAAGCTGGCAGTTGATTAGATAGTGGGTCATACAGGGGTATTAACCAGGATTAATCAGGATTAATCAGGATCAAGATACTCTGTAATCTAGTTAATATCCCTCCTGCAACACTAATAGAAAGAAATTAGATAAGGAAGACTTAATTAATAACGCCCTCCTTAAAGGACCCGCTTCCTATCTATCTCTTAAGGTACCTTATGCTCCTAAGAAATCTTAAAGTAACACCTCCCTTAAAGATAAATATATATTAACCCTATTTAAAAAGTAGAGGTTAGAGGAATAAGTTAAGTAACTTACTAATTAGTTGTACAACACCTCCCTCTATAAGGAGATATAGGGTACTACCTAACCTAGCTAGTCTTTAGCTTCTATATTAAACCCCTATAGTATATACTATAAAAACTAAGAGATAATCTAAAAAGATACTAAATATCTCTATACT